CCTTAAATTCTTGACGAAGGCTGTAACTCAAATAGTAAGCTGCTTATTCATTACGTTTATAAGTTACCGTCAACTATATGATGAACCTTGAAGGCAGAAACTGAAGTGGCCAAGCTCGAGTTTCCGTTTATCTCGGCTAACCTTACTGTCGGACCTGGAGAAGTGCAGTTCAACAGCAATCTCGGCGTTGAAAAGTTCTCCATGCCAAAGTAAAGGATTGGTCTATTGTTATGTCACATGGTAAATTTCTCTTACAGACTCGACGCTTCACTATCGGAAACAGAAGGCTTAGTGTTTAAATCACAGAATGGTATTTTGCAAATGAAAGGGATTTGGCAAGCAGAATTCAAACATCCATTCGATTCCCCAGTTGATGTAAGTTCTATGCTTAAGCAAGCACTCCATGTTCCAAAACATTCGTTAAGACGACCTCGAATGGCACAACACATGTGTCAGTAGCTGATTTGGATATAGCTGTCACTGCAAAAGCGGTAGCCGTCGATTATCATCTGAAACTCGTCATGGGAGAATGTAAAGTGAAGCTGAACACCTTTGATTATATGTAAGATAACTTCAGAATCATCTAACATGCCTTCCTTCAATCCTAAAATAAAATTCCAGCCTGGAGGGGGGCTATATGCCGGACTTGGCAAATATGTTCCAAGCTCTTACCACAACTTTAGTTAAGAACCTTATTCGGGAGATGGTAAGAAAAACATGTATTTTTGAGATCCCTCATGTTTTAACCTATTATTTAAGACTTGCAAAGTTGCACGAGATATCATTATAAGCAAATACAATGAGTTTTTGTACTCTCTTCCTCTTCGTCAACCAATCGGATTTGACTTCTTCGTTGATTATGCGCTACAACAACCAAAATATACAAAGTAAGAGCTGTTGTACCGATTTAAATGCAGTTAAGCTGCAGAAATTTCGGACACAACTTATTTCGTCAATTCTCCGAAGAAAGAAACAAGTATAAGAACGTTTGATAACTCACAGCAATCTCATTGAATTCACTGCTGGAAGCAAAGTCGGATATGGCAATCTTTCATGTGAGGAACACACAAACGTGATCGAAAACTTTGCGGGTTCGTTTTGTAATTCACAAATCTCGTAGTTCAACTCTATCCACACTGACTTCAGCGTAAAATTTTAGAACAAGGACTGAGGCCAAAGATGGCAGTTGTATGGATGGGAGAAAGTCTCTCATCATGTGTTTTTAAAAGCGTGCATGAATCACAGATGATCCAGATCCCTATCAACAAGAATAGTCTCCCGGATTACAAGGATTACCTTAAAATCAAGTAGATTCTACTTATACATTACACTAATGCTTTCTTTTGAACAAGTATTTTTTATAGTTGTGGAGCGCTTGCGATGTGCATTGGGAACTGGTTCCAAAGTTTCGTCAGCAAGTACAAGAAGAACGAATACGCCGAATTAATTATTCGCACCTACGAGGCACCAATACTGAAACTAATGAAAGGTTACATTAAAGTCAATGCCAAGATTGCTATGGATGTGTACATATATCCAATCGAGAAGAATCCCAAGAAACTTGCCACATTGGGTAAGCAAAAATGCGTGATTTACTCGAAGGAGACCACATTCACGAAAGGTTTTAGTACTTGATGCAAACGCAAAAGTTATTCCACAAAATACTGGCGATCGATTGATTGGGAAGGTTGA